CCAGAGATGGTGGAAAGAAAAGGGTGGTGGAAGGATCGGGGTCCAAAGGGGGAGTGCCGAAGGCGGTGCCTTAGGGCGGGGAGAAGTCTGGGGAGATGCGGGGTGGGGGGGCGCAGGGCGGGGCAGGGGACACCCTCAGAGGGCCTAGAGTGGGCCCCATGGGTCCTGCGGGAGCTTGGCGGTGGGGCTCAGAGGGAATGAGGAGCCTCGGGCGTGTGGGGCTCAGGCTCAGGAGACGTGGGGTGCAGAGGATTGGCCCCCCCCAGTGCCTCTGACAGGGTGGGTGGGGGCGGCCAGGGCGGGCCTGCGGAGCTCACGGAGGATGGGCGTTCAGGGCAGATGGGGAGGTTGAGAGTGGGGGGGCGGGCCCTCGCAGGTGGGGTGCGGTGGGTTGGGCGGGCGCTCCAGGGGGGGCTGGGAGCTGGGGGCGGGGGTGGACAGCCTTGCTTCAACATGGCCCTCAGAGGAAACACAGGGGAAGTCTAGAGAACTACCACAGCCGGCGGGCGAGGCAGCGGGGACTGAGGTCGTAGGGACTGAGGGCCAGATGCGGTGGGGACAGGAGGGCTGTTCCTTGGGGAAGGGAGGCCTGGCTCCTGGTGCAGGTGGGCAGTAGGCAGCACGCTGGGGCGCTGAGGGCAGCCAGGGTGTAGCGAGTGCAGTAGGGTGCAGGTCCCCGGGCTTATCCGGATACGTCAGCACCAGCTCTCAACTGTTCTCTGACTAAAACTATTCTAAAGTTGCTTTTAATGAAACAAATAGAGGCAGAAAAATACTGAGGATGACAGTGAAATCATACAAGCTGTCTTCCCTCGCTCCCTTTGGCTTTGCTTTCTAAGGATGAAACGGCCACAGGGGACCGGGGCAGGCCCCTGGCGTCCCGACCCCAGGACACCTGTCCGCGTCCTGCCAGGCGGGAAGTGGTAAAGGGGGGGGTCGGGGGCCTGTTCCACCTCTGAGGAAGGGACAGTTTTTACTGCAGGGACAGGTATCCTGAAGCCAAGTGCTCGCTGTGCCTGGAGATCCGAATGCCAGGTGGTTGACAAACCTTGGTCCTGGCACCCCACTGGGCTGGCTTCTGGTGACCAGGTCGGTCCCCAAGGCCAAGAATCAACCCTGGAGATGGATCCCGAGGCTCTGGCGTGGCGTGGGTGGGACTTGCGACAGGTGAGAAAATCTTCACAGAGACTTGGTGAAAAGTGGCAGAATTAATTTGATCCTTTTAGAAGAAAGATGAGATGAGAGAGTCGGAGGGAGAAGGAATAAAGGAAAGGGGTGTAGTGCGTGGCAGAGAAGAGAAGTGAGGGGCCATGTGTGGGCCGAAGGTGGGGCCGAGCAGCTGGAGCAGAGCCGTGGAGTCATTAGGTGGGTTATCCCAGGCAGTCCGCCAGCGACAGGTGTTCGTCTTGCCCGGTTTCTCTGCCTGGAGACGTGGTTGTCTCTCAAAATGCAGCGGAGCACTCAATTTCACAATTGCAAAGATGTCGGGGTAAACACCCAAGTGCCCATCAAATACATGATGGATTTAAATCAAATGTGGTCTGTGACACCATGGTAGTACGTCCAGCTCTAAGAACAACAGTGATGCGCACCTCTTGTATTTTCCTGGCGAGAGCTGGAACCCATTCTATAAAGCGAGGTATCCCAAGAAGGGAAAAACCAGCACTGCACATGTATCAGCTGCCAAATTGTACTAACGATCAGCACTAAGTGGACACATAGGAATCACATTTTCGGATGTCGGGTGTCGGTGAGGAGGGACGGGTATATACACTAATGAGTGCGCATGTGCACCACGTGGGGAGGCACGCTTGAAGTCTGACTCGAGGGGGCGGAGGGGGGCACGGCAAATATACGTTCACCTAACATTTGTTACCCCACAAATATGCTGGAAAAAATTTTAAAAATTTTAAAAAGCCAAAATTGCTGTCAGGCTCCTGGCCGGGGATTCGTCTCACCCGGGACAGGGCTCTGGCAGGAAGCTGGGGCCTGGGGTCTGCACCCCAGTCCCGCAGGACCCCCTCGATGCTACGAGAAGATTCGGGAGGCGGGAGGCTGGTGAGTGGAGAGACAGATTTACACCTCCTCTCTGTCCTGCCAGCTGCGTTGTGAAGACGGAACGCAGGTGGGAGGGAGGAAGGGAGGGGAGCGGGGAGCTCATTTCTCGTTATTGGCTAGCAAGGTTGACCGTCCTTCCATGCGCCCCCTGGCGCTGGGCTTCAGGCACCTCTGGCTTCACCCGAGACGCCCCAGGAAGCCGAGACCCGCACACTGGTGGCAGCGGGGGATGGGGAGGGTGGAGGATGGGAGGCGTGGGGGGGAGCCAGGCCCTAAAGCCTCCAGAAGCCGGCAGAACACAGCCCACAAGGACTTGCGGGCACTCCCTGCAGGGGGCTTGGGGGACAGCAGGGGGGCCAGTCTAGCAGTCTGCCAGCGACCCGAGTCCCGCCTCTCCTCCTGACCACCGTGGGCCAGCAGAGCGGCACTGCGGGGCAGAGGAAGGGCTGGTCACAGGCGGGGGAAGGGAGGCTGGTGGCCTCCACCTTTCCGCTGGGGCCAAATTGAGTCACAATGCCCTGACTGTGGGGTGCAGTGGTGATGCTCCAGACATTGGCTGGGTGCATGAATAAATGAATTGACAGATACGTTCACCTCTTCTCGGATAGACCAAATGCCCGGGGAGCTAAGATAATGACATGAGTCCTTTGTTGGCCGGACCCCCGAAGAGGGACCACGGGACCCGGGCCGAGGGTCCTCAGGACACTTCTGCACCCCCTGCACCCAGACCTCAGCTCTTGGAGCCACTGTGGGAGTGGGGCTCAGTGTGGGAGAGGAAGAGGCAGCTCCTGGCCTGCCGCGCCCCTGACCAAGCCACCACGACACGACAAGGCCCGGAGAAGAAGAAAAGACCCACTTCTAGACAGGCGCCGGTGGTGCTCATGCCTGGGTTCCCTGCTACTCGGTTGGCTCTGGTGTGGAGGACCGCTTGAGCTCAGGGGTTAAGACCAGACTGGGCAATATAGTGAGACCCCATTCTTAAAAAAAAAAAAAAAAAGACCGCTTCCAAATCGTGTTTCCCACAGACAAAATCGATGTCATGGTGCCACCATAGACATGACAACATCCCCCCTCCGGCTGACACAGGTGACTTGCGGCATCTCCCTGCTCCCAGGTTGCGGCGTCTCTGACACCCCATCAAAGCACTGCCGCTTCCCCAGGCAGAGCCGGATCCAGAGCCGCCTGCCACTCCCGCCGGGAGCGTGGCCTCGGACCACACCCGCACTCCAGGCCTGCGCCCCCTCCGAGTTGCGGTCTCTGAGGAAGCTGTGGTGACGTGTCTGCTCACTCCTGCAATAACCGGCCGCTCCCCCCAAGCTCCTTGGCAGAAATACTCCCTTTATGTGCAGATAAAACTGTGATGTGCAGATTGCCGTTGTGAGAAGAACGCCATCTTATCATTGTGCCTGGGCCACACATTCCGTGGCTCGCCCTTCAAAAGCTGCAGAGCAGAATGCGTGCAATGGTGTGGGTCCAGCCCTCACACCGCTGAGCTGGGGAGCGAATCTCTCACCGAAAATGAAGTCAGTAAGTCAGTCTTCTCTGTTCCTTTTTTTTTTTTTTTTTAGACAGAAGTTGTTCTGGTCGCTTGCTAGAGTTTGTGGCATCATCACAGGCTCGGCAGCACCTCACCAATCCCAGGGCTCAAGCGAGTCCCCGCGTCGCCTCCCATAGTCGCTGGGACTCCGGGTCGGCCCTGTGGCTTCACTAATATTAGACTTTTTTGGTAATAGTTCATTTTCTACCATACTTAGGAAAGGTTCCTCTGCACTCTGAGATAATATAAGCACTCACCTTTATTTCCTTTAGAATTTTATTCTGGTTTGTTCCTTCTTTTGCATTTAGTCATTTATTCTACTCCAATTGGAATGTGTTTTTTTTTTTGTTTGTGTTTTTGAACAGAGCTCTGCTAGTTGCCAGGCTAGAGTGAGTGCCCGTGGCGCAAGCCCTAGCGTCACAGCAACCTCAAACTCCTGGGCTCAAGCGATCCTCCGGCCTCAGCCTTCTTCAGTAGCTGGGATACAGGCATGTGCCACCCCAGACCGGCTAATATTTTTAATATTTTAGTTGGCCAATTATTTCTTCTTTTTGGTAGAGATGGGGTCTCGCTTCGCTATTACTCTCTCTTTTTGCAGGCCCGGTGCTGGCGATGCCCCGGTGGGCCTAGAGCCCCTCAGAGTTGGTGCTTTGGTGCCCGGCCCTTCTCCTGCCACACCCGAGCAGCCGAATCCGCTCCACGCAAGCCCAGCCCCGATACCGCGCCCCTCCCGCCACGTGGCTCACTCTCCAGCCACTCACCGGAACCCCCACACTCCAGCTGGGACCCCCGGACCCCAGCAACGGTGCCACCCTCAGGTCCTCTCCCTCCCTGCGCCCAGTGGGCCGGGGCCGCTGGCTGGGACCCTCTCTGGGACCTGAGAGGGTGAAGAGCTTCCTCCCTGGGGCCGAGACTCTGCCACCCACGGACTCGCCTGGAGCACCCGGCCGGAGTCAGCCCTGGGACGGGCCGCTGAGCCCAAAAGCGGCTGCTCTGATGGTCGGGATTTGATGCATGGAAAGCAGAGCGAGGCTGCACCGCAGCAGGGGTGTGTGGGTGTGCGTGTTCTCACCTGCAGGTGTGTGTGGGGTGGGTGTTCACACGTGCAGGTGTGTGTGGGGTGTGCATGTTCACACATGCAGGTATGTGTGGGGTGTGCGTGTTCACACGTGCAGGTGTGTGTGGGAGTGCATGTTCACACGTGCAGATATGTGTGGGAGTGCGTGTTCTCACCTGCAGGTGTGTGTGGGGTGTGTATGTTCACACGTGCAGGTGTGCGTGCTGTGAGCACAAGTGTGTGATGGGTGACTGAACGTGCACGTGTGTACTGTGTGTGTGCACATGTGTGTGCATGTGTGCAGACAGGGAGGGCGGGGGGAGGAGGAGGGACCCCCATGGCCGTGTTCTGAGAGCACAGGAGTGGTGTGCAGCAGGTTCCTCCTCCAAGGCCGTCCTTGGGGGGCCTGTGTCCCAAGAGGCCATGATCTGTGCCTCAGTTGAACAGCCGCCCTTGTGGGCAGCCAGAGGCCTTGGGGAGCCCGAGCCTGAGGTATAAGCGGAGCCCATCCTCCCCCCCACCACCACCGCAAGAGCTCTCGAGCGTGGGCTGGACGGCCCCGCCTGGCCTCGCCCGGCCCCACGCACCTCCAGGAACCGAGCGGCCGCGGCCACATCTTCCTGGCTCAGCACCAGGTTGTCCACGAACATCCAGAAGAAGGGCCTCGGGCTGCCCGGCGGGGGCCTCGCGTACTGCAGGAGCCGGCAGAACTGGAACAGGAACCAGCCTGGGCAGGAGGGCAGGGCTGAGGACCTGGGGGTGCACCTGCCCGCACCCCATCTGCCCCCAGAGCGACGGAGCCCTCAAGGGTGCAGGGCTCCCTGCGCCAGGGCCACGGGGCGTGCACACCCGCCTGCCCACACAGCGGGGAGGGGAGGAGCCCGGCGGGCACAGCTGCGGCACCAACAGCGCCTGCCAGGCAGGACCTAGAGCACCGAGCCGGCCACCGAGGCCCCTGCGCCAAGCGCCCAGCAGTGGGGCGTGGGGGGACTGGGGGGTGCAGGGAAGTCTTCGGGGCGACGGGCCTCTGAGATGGGCACATGGTGAGTATTTACATCCAAACTCACCCCGTCACACACTTCGAATGTGGACAGCTTACAGTGCCAGCGGCGCCTCAACAAAGCTGTCTTTGAAAATGCAAACAACGGCAGTGTCTGCTCTGCCCGAGGGGGCTCGAGTGGCATGGGGCAGGGAGAGAAGAGGGGACGGCTGGGGACACACTGCGCGTAACCGGAGCCCGGCGCAGCCCTTTCCTCCGAGCGTCTCACCGGGGGGACGGTAGCAGGTGTGGCCCAGGGGAGGCGTCGCGCCGTACACGAGATCGAACGGGCCCCAGTCCTCCACCTGCAGACACGGGCATGCCGGGGACGTTTTTATCTTCCCAGGGAGACCAGGGGCAGCTCACCTGGAGTTACCTGCCCAGGTGGAGCACCCTGCCCAGCCCTCAGGGCCCCAGGGCCACCCTCACTCACCACTGGCCCCCGGGGACACACGTGGAGCCCACGGATGGGGCCCCACGCCAGCCCCCCAGTACGCAGGTGACTGTGTTGTTGGGGAGCATACAGGGTGTAGCAGCCTCACTGGCAGCGGGAGCTGCAGTGCGGGCAGGACATTCCCGGATGGACATAAATGACCCAACATGACATCAGGGACCAGCCACCCCTCGGCTGAGCTAGAGGGAAACCAAACACAGTCACCAAGACCCTGCCTGAACACAGACCGGGGGGGACGCTCCCAACCACAGACGTGACCCCAGACCTCCTCTCTGGGGTGACACGGGGGACACTGACTGCATTAACAACGGTGACTCCAGCCCTGTGTCATTCTCCTTAAGTAAAAATTAACAAGGTGGCCAGGCGAGGTGGCTCACGCCTGTAATCCTAGCACTCTGGGAGGCCGAGGCCGAAGGATCCATCAAGGTCAGGAGTTCGAAACCACCCTGAGAAATTCGAGACCCCGTCTCTACTAAAAATAAAAAGAAATTAATTGGCCAACTAAAAATGCATAGAAAAAATTAGCCAGGCACGGTGGCGCATGCCTGTCATCCCAGCTACTTGGGAGGCTGAGGCAGGAGGATCGCCTGAGCCCAGGAGTTTGAGGTTGCTGTGAGCTAGGCTGATGCCATGGCACTCTAGCCCGGGTGACAGAGTGAGACTCTGTCTAAAAAAGAAAAAAAAAGATCAACAAGGTAACTCAGGCATCAATCAGACGCCCGTCTTCTGCCAGCACCCGGCCCTGCAGACCCTGCTTCCTGGGACCCTCCTGGAGCCACTTCACGACAGGGGGTTCTAGGGTGAGCCCCGACTCCTGCGGTCCCTCCCGCACGTTCTCCCCGACGAGGCGAGTGAACAAGCCCGACTCTGGCTGCAGGTGCCCGGCGGCCGGGCCTGGGCTTTGTGGGGGACAGAGCGGGTGAGCGTGGCTGGTGGTCCCCGCGCCTCCCAAAGTCATGCACGCAGGAGACGACTTAACCCCTGGGCGTGCACAACTGGCCGGGGAGGAGGAGGAGCCGGCGCAGGGGTGGGATTCTGGCCTCGAGGAAGGGGACGCAGGCCCAGACCTGCGTCACCCCCTTGCAGGGTGTGGGGGCAGCTGCTCGGTTGGAGTATGGAGTCTTTGTTCCAGAGGGCAGAGTCGGGCTCGATCCCCCACCGGGCAGCACCCCATCACCAGTGCAAACCAGCCCACTGGGGTGTCCAGGTGTGCGGCGGGACGCTTGGCCGACCACCCAGCCGTGGGCTCTGGGCCGGGCAGGGCCCACGGACACCCGCTGCAGGGCCCGGCAGCCTGTGCACTGGGGCGCCCCCACTGGCCCGGCCAGAGGCCCCAGAGCTGGGCAGCGTCCAGGCCGCCCCTCCCCTGCACACCGCCACCCCCTCCTCTCCTGCCCCTCACGCGGCGAGGCGTCTCCCCCACCCCCGGGCACCTGTGGACGCCGCCGTCCCCGAGGTACTCACATCCCTCCTCACCACGTCCGTGACGTCCTCCAGGTGCCTCAGCCGGCCGGGGCCAGAGCCGCTCTCCAAAAACCCCAGGCTCGCCAGCTCTGCGCGGGGGTGAGAGGGCACACAGGGCTGCTGCGGACTCGGCCCCTCCAGGGAATCGGAAGGGCCAGGGACAGATCGGGGCACTTTCCGGCCACTGACAGCAGCCTCTCTCTCCAAGGACACGCGGGAGGGGGAAGCTAAACAAACTGGCCTCGCTGAGCATTGTTTTAGGAAAGCCAAGCGATCTGCTGGGAAACCAGGCATTTCTGGGCTGTGATGTCACCCGCCGGGTTAGGAAATCCAAGGACGGCAGCCGGTCCAGCCGCCAGAGCCCAGCGGGTGGGAGCCTCCAGCCTGGGAGGGGCCATGGCCGCGGCCTGGCGCTGTGCGTCTCAGGCTCCCGCCCTGCACCGCGGGGTGGCGCGAGGTCCCACACGGCCGGTCTGAGGACGCCAGCCAGCACTTGGCGGGGTGCTGGGAGGGGACCGGCCCTGATGCTACTGGCCAGAGGCGGGGGGCCAGGTGTCCCTGTGTCTGCCGGCCGGGACACTGGGTGGGAGTCCCAAGTCACCCGCAGGTGCGGCCAGGCGGGCCCAGGGCCAGGTGTGTGCAGGCGCCTTCCTGTGTGAGTCTTCTCGGCGTCCCCACACTCACCTCTTTTGATGTCCCCGAAGAGGGACAGCACTCGCACCGGCTCTCTCTTCCACACGGCCACGGTCTTGTACATCTCAAGGGGACTGTCCTGTGCATTTAACAAGACAGAAGCTGTGCCGGCTGCTTGGTCACAGGGCTCTTGAGCTAAAATTAAAATTCTTCCTGATGCCACATTCTCCCCTGGATGAACAGAGACTCACCTGAGGCTCACCTGAGGCTCACCTGAGGCTCACCTGGTGAGGCCTGGTGGCCTGTCCTGACTAGCGCTGTGCCCCATGACGGCCAGCTCCACCTGAGCCCTGGCCGTGCCCAGCAAAAAGACAGCGGGGAGTGGGGAAGGTCCTAACTTTAAAGGAGGACGATGCCATCCCGACAGGAGATACTCCTGTCACTCTCGGTGTCCGAGTCTTCCACCCGGGAGAATCTGACTGGGCACAGTGACGGCCCTCGCCCCTCGTTCCCACATCCCTGTCCCTCCAGCAGCCCCGTCCACCCTCCATGGGCTGGGAACATCCGAAAGCTGCCGGACACCCCTGGGAGGGACCCTGCTGTCTGCCGCTAGTGGCCTTCGTGCAAAGCGACGCCCCAGAGCCCAGCACCGAGGAGCCCACTGAGGACAAAGGACACGGGAGTATCCACACCCCGTCGGTCCTGTTTGGCCATGAGATGCACCTGGCCCTCCCATCCCTCCCTGCCAGGACTCCAGGCCAGACAGCGAGGCGCAGTTCTTTTGTAGGATGCGCACCCCAAGGTCTCCTGCCCCCCCAGGAGGCCGGTCGCACTTGGGGGTGCCCGGCTGACAGCAAACACGGCCTGACGATCAGGCACCAGGCCTGGGAAGGGGGCGGCTGCCTGAGTGGGGGCCCTGGGCAGAGCCCCAGCCGCAGTGGAAGCAGATGGGACCACAGCCCGGCAAGGCCACGGGCCTCAGCCTCGGAGGATGTGGGGGAGGTGCCTGACCCTGACCCTGACCCGGCTGCTGCTCCCCGAAGCCCTGCGGGCTCCTGGCCTTGTCCCTCAGGGGCCGTTGTTCAGCATCGACGCTCCAGCGTGTGCTCCCTAGCACAGGACTGTGGGGGGTGCTGAGGACGCCCGCCAGCCCTTCCGGGCCCTCCCCTACCCGCCACCACTGCCTCATTCCCAGGCTAATATTCCCGACAATACCGCGCCATGTGTCTCTGAAATAAGTACGTCAGTTTACAGCCCGAAGAGGCCCCACCCTCCCAAAAGTTATTTTTACATGCGTATTTCTAAATTCCCTGTCTTGCCTCAGAATGTATAATAAGATGTGCATCAGACCCAAATGAAGCCCTCATTCTTTGGCTTGATACCAAAGTCTCAGAAGATTACAGAACCGACAAAAAAAAAATCGAGTTTTTCTTCTTCCAAAATGTTAGCACACCTTCTAAATACAATCAATATGACAGATCTTTAGGAAACCCCTGGAGACTGTCTAATGACAAGATGGTCCACCCACAAAACGAAAACCTGATCGGACGGTAATGGATGGGTCATGGGCCGCAACCTGGAATGAAGAATGAAATGCGGTTAATTGGAATTAACCGAGTTTCCATTATTTTGTATGACCACTCTCTACAGGATCTAAAGTTGGCACCTGTAATATCCTTTTTTTTTTCTTATTAGTTTTTTTCTTTCTGTTGTAAATAAGATAAGTAGGCTGTACCCAATACTCTACAGACTTCTTAGACATATTTACAATTTGTTTGATGTGTAAAATCTAAACATTTCCCTTCCAATTACACTGTAAGGTCAAATGGACAAGGATTGGCTCCCTCCGTAAATTTGGTGCATGACTAATTTTTTGCAGCCCAGTTCCTTGGAAACCGTTAGGCACTGAGTTTGTTGTGGTCTTACCTGACATCATGGTGTCCTACCCTGGACTGCTGACACGAAAGTAGACTGGCCCTTTTCGGAACTAGCCTGTAAGCAAAACCTCCTGACGTCCAATAGAGCGCCCCTAACTCTGTTGCATGCATGGAAGCTCTCATCTGCTAGCTGTTCGGGGTGGGTTTCTTATTCACCAGATGGGTGCTTCTCCCTCCTCCTGCTTGGTCAGTGGTGACCCAGGTGGATCATGGCTCGTAGGCTACGCCTTTGAGCCACCTCAGACCACCAAGAAGAGCTCCGCTCTTTTCTCCTGTCCTTCTAAGTGTCTCCTGTCTCCCTGCTGCACCTGGGTAAACATAGCGCCCTCCGTGGTGAGCATTTGGACTTCTGTGCCAGGCTTCCTTGGGTTCTTTTCTGAAGCATCCGTCTGGCTGGGTCATTGTCATGGTCCTGTCACCGCCAGCAAAGAGAGGAGAAACAACAGGGAAGTAAGTGAAACGGACACACTACAACAACAGAGGTGTGGACAAGGGAGCACGTACAGAAGAACTAACATGCCCCGCGAAGCCCAACCCTGCACACGGCACCACAGCCTCTGGAGAGTGGCCTATCTCTGAATATTCTATACCAGTCTGAGGAGCTCACCGGCGCTCACCCCAGCTACCGTCCTGACACAGCACCCAGCCCGTATAACGCCGTACCAGGTACCCTATTAAGGGTTCCTGAGAGACACACCTCCACCCTCTGCCCCCCCCGGGGACGGCGGGCTGGAGCCCACCGGACACGTCCACCAGCTGGGCTCAGCCTCTGGGTCTAGGACTGGGGCACCAGCCACACACCACACACAGCCACGCAGGACGCAGGACACCACACGCAGGACACGCAGAAGGAGAAGGCCAGCCCTCAGTCTCTGCCAGGCAGGCCCAGCGCGGCCCCACAGTGACACCCTGCGTCGCCAACCCAAAGAGGAGGGCCAGGGAGTGCCCACCTGAGGGCTGGGGTCCCCCGTGCCTGGCCCTTCCCTTGCCGGGCCTGCCATGGTGCCTGCCACAAGGAGGGCAGAGGCCTGGCCCCTCTGCCCCTGGCCCCCAGGGGGGAGGAAAGGACTCACAGGTCTCGCTAGGCGGGGGCCTGCCGGCTCTGAGTCTGGGTCCGGTCGGGTCAGGTTGGGGTGCAGCGTCCAGGGTCTCCAGGCTCAGGGTGCCGGGGGAGGAGAGGGCCATGGAATCAGAGATGGTGAAGAAAAGGGGTGGTGGAAGGACCGGGGGTCCAAGGGGGAGGCCGGAGCTGGTGGGCCTTAGGGCGGGGAGAAGTCTGGGGGAGATGCGGGGGTGGGGGCGTCAGCGGCGGGGCAGGGGACACCCTCAGAGGGGCCTGAGTGCGGCCCCAGGGGTCCTGCGGAGCTTGGCGGTGGGGGCTCAGCGGGAATGAGGAGCCCTCGGGCGTGTGGGCTCAGGGCTCAGGAGCGTGGGGTGCAGAGGATGGGCCCCCCCAGTGCCGCGTGACAGGGGGGTGGGCGGGGCGCTCAGGGGCGGGGCCTGCGGAGCTCAGCGGGGATGGGCGTTCAGGGCAGATGGGGGAGGTGAGAGGTGGGGTGCGGGCCCTTGCAGTGGGTGCGTGGGTGGGCGGGGCGCTCAGGGGCGGGCTGGGGAGCTGGGGCCGGGGGTGACAGCCTGCTCAACATGGGCCACTCAAGGAAACACAGGGAAGTCTGAGAACCTGCCACAGCCCGGCGGGCGGAGGCAGCGGGGACTGAGGTCGTAGGGGACTGAGGTCCAGATGCAGTGGGGACAGGGAGGGCTGTCGGGGGAAGGGAGGCCTGGCTCCTGGTGCAGGTGGCAGTAGGCAGCACGCTGGGGCGTGAGGGCAGCCAGGGTGTAGCCGAGTGCAGTAGGGTCAGGTCCCCGGGCTTACCGGACGTCTGCACCAGCTTCTCAACTGTTCTCTGACTAAAACTATTCTAAGGTTGTCTTTTTAATGAAAACAAGAAAGAAGTGCCA